GGGATAATGAAAAAATAAAATGGAAACTACTATAGTAGATTAAGATTCTATGGGGATAATGGAAAATAAAATGGAAACTACTATAGTAGATTAAGGTTCTATGGGGATAATGGGAAAAGAAAATGGAACCCCTGCAATATTTAGCTATGTGTCAGAGTGCTTTTTCAGCGCAAGGGTTGCTGGTATACGTATGCCTAAACCCGTATACCCTAAACCCAAACTCCAAACTCCAAACCCTAAACCGGTTCGATGACTTGCCCTAAGGGTCCAAGGACCAATAGAATAGGGTTTTAGGGCCCCAAATACTATAAGATTAATGGTATTGGGTCCCTAAACCCTTATTAGTTGGGTCCTTGGACCCTTAGGGTTGAGAGAGATATGTACATCGGCAACCTAAATTTTGGTCCTGTCCAGGCATGGGCAGATCGGCCTTCCGTTTTGCAGCTACGCGTTCTGGGCGCCTGGAGCCAGGTTATGGGCATGGGATAAGGGTTTGGTTTTGAAGGCTTGGGTCTAGGGCCTAAGTTTTTGGGGATTAGGGTCTCATTCGATCGGGACGTGCGCAAGTGCATGACAAAGCAGATGTAGAGCAAGCCCACGGCTTGTATCCGAAACCTAGACGGTGTGCGTACATCATTCGGTGGCGCTTCGTACTCTCAGATTATCTCATGAATGTGCAGTCCACGTGCCATGCGCCCACTTGCTGCTTGAAAAATCAATGCAAGATATGGGTCTTAATTCCCTGAACTGCAATCTGCATCCTTAGTGGAAAGGAGTCTTCTATCTTCAGACACGGAGAGGTACAGTGACCTTATCAACACCTTGACTGGTTGGTGAGAGACAACAGAAATCCAAGACCTCAAGCCAGAGCGATGACTTCCGTTTACAGCACCAGCTACAGGTCTGCAGAGCATATTCCATGATAACACTCCAAAGGATACGATAGCACGTAGTGGCGAGGGGTAGAAGACATATACCGATAACAATCTCGCGAGTCAGTATGGACAGCGGTCGGCGTGCTCACAGTACGCACCTGTATCTGTCGCTCTCCACATTACAGTTGCCCATGATCTTGCACAAATTTGATTTTGAGACCGCTCCAAGCAAGACAATGGCCCCCAAGTCCGGATGAACCGGACAGAGGCGATTTGCTCTGAAGTAAACCTGCGAGCTTCCAAAACAGGAGCGCACGTTTGGGAAGGGTCCTTGCATACGAGAGCGCCTCATATGCAAAGGACAGGCTGACAATCACTGCTTCGCTGGCGTTATCTTAGTGACTCAGTGCCGCCTTGTCTGTGGGCGAATATTCGAAGCTGCTAGGGCTATGCACATGTAGAGGGAATGATACATGACTGTGATGCGCCCTGGGGGTTTATGGGGATCATAATGCTTAAGGGACTGTTGGCAGTGTTCTCTTTTGCTGACAGGCCCACCAAAAAGTCGTGATTACCATCAGAATCGAGCTAGGTGGTAGAAACATGTTGAAAGCATACATAAAAAGTGGTGTTGGCGCAACGGACAGAGAATAGGAAACATGGTAGTATTCTTCAGGAATTAGCCCTTCTGGAGCTACGCTACTCTACACCCAAGACCCGAAAGCCTAACAGCTTCTCGGAAAGGTGGCATACCAAAAGTCATATGAAGCGATACGAGATGTAGCTCACATGGGAAAGCAGAGAATCCAGCGCGCACTAGGCACAACCAATGGTTACCCTGACAATCTTGTTTCAAAGGGTGGGTTAGCCGCCCATTGACGGAACAGATGTACGCCGGGCCTCTCTGGCTAACCTCACATGCTAAAACCCTCGAGCCATCAGCGCGTCACTGCTGCAGGGTTTCATTTCCCACCTGCACCGGAACAGGACACTTCGGAATTTCAGGAGGTGCCTAGAGGCTGTAGGGTCATGGGTTTCGAGCTTAGGGTACTACACCTCGCCCTTGTCTCGGGCGCCTCAGTGATAAGTAGAATGACGCGCGACGGGCACCCCACATGGAAGATTACCTGGGCAAGAGCCTGCCGGTAGGGTAGCGGACATTGGTGCTGTTTTTGAGCGTGGGTAATGCAGCTGGTTCTGGGTAAAAATGTTGTGGCGCAAAATGCTAGTTATCTTGACTGGCATACTAGCCATGATATTAAACGTCATTGCCGATTAACCTACATCTCTTGAATTTTCATATCCCTACAAATCCCTAAGGGCTCTCTATATCAGTCCCACTAATAATCAGATGCCATTCGAAATCTGTGAGCTTTGCCCTTTGACACGCAATCGAACGTACTGTGGCCTTGCACATATCTGATCGCCCTTTGCCTCTCAAAGGGTGAATATGTCACTCACTGCAAGAGCTTGAATTCGAAGCGCAGCGACGTAATGCCTACCTTTAAGAAACACGACAAGCAAAAGGGGTCAGGCTCAATGAGGAAGCGTACAAGTGACCACATACACATATATTACCCTAAACCCTAAACCCTAAACCCTAAACCCTAGGGATATATAGACATAGATATGATTGTTTTAATCATTTTAATCCCTATATAATCGTCTGACCACCCTAAAGCCTTCAGAAGCCCTAAACCCTAAACTCTAAGTCCTTATCCATGGCCCCTCGGGCCAGCAACCATCCCTCGCTGGGTCAGTAGGAGCCCTTTAAGGGTTTATAGGGATAATGGAAAGTAAAATGAACTGCTTCATTATAATAGGGAATATAAAGGGATTATAGGGATTATGGAAAATGAAAGGGACACTGCCTTATTATAACAGGGCACATAAAGGGGTTGTATTGCGATAATGGAAAATAAAATGGAATCTACTCTATTATGATAAGGATTTCCTGAAATCGGATATGGAGGGGGGATACAGGTAAACTAGAGAGCAGCAACCCACGTATTGCAGTATCCCCTAGGATAGGGTTTACGCGTTAAGGGATTAGGGTTTAGGGTTCAGAGTGAGTCTCCAGGAGGGGAGGTTGGCGCGTACATTGTGGTGGCCGTATCCTATCAATGCCACCACACCTCGAGCTTTTGCACAGAGGGCCCTATTTTTTGGATACCCGCTGTAATCCCCTCAGACCTATAATGAACATATCATTTTCGATACTTCTTCGGGGTTTACAACAAAAAATGCAAAATATGACAGTTTCCTAAAGTAGGGGGCGGGCCAATATAGACCCCCAAAATACTATAATCCTTTTTATGGGGACACTCAAAAGGGTCCCCTACTTTTGGGAAACTACCATATTTCTAAGGGGATAGGAGCCAGCCATACTTCGAGCGGCTTCTCAGGTAACGTAGCCAGCAAGATACGCTCTTCCAAAGCGATTCTGCCAGGAAGCAGACTCACTGGTATCTCTATTATCTTCCTGAAAGTACCTGAACCCCGAAAGTATGTCGAACAATTGCCTTTTGGGCTGTTTTTAGGGGGTTTGGGCTATTAGGTACCACTTATTCCACAAGGAAAGGCCTCCCAGAGAAGTTCTTGCAGGGGAAGAACCGCCTTCATCGAAGCATCCTGCAGAGACTTCAAGATGTCAGGAAAGCTTGTGGCTAATCATGGTTTAGGGTTTAGGGTTTGGTGTTCAGGGTTGAGGGTGTAGGGTTCAGGGCTTGGGGTTTAGGGTCTGGGCTTTAGATTTCCTGCCCCTAGCTACTGCTGTTGACCGCAGGATTGTTACAAAGCATGCGAGTGGTCTTGCCTACGTTTTCAGCATTGCTGGGTACTGCTACCGTTGCTGCCCATATTGTTGGCATGTTCGTGTTGATCATCATATCTCTTGCTGATGTTGTCACCCTGGGTAGTGTTGCTCCCCTTAACCCTAAACCCTAAGCCCTAAACCCTAAACCCTAAACCCTAAGCCATAAACCCTAAACCCTAAACCGCGTGAGGCACGCCAGACGCTGGGGCCCGGTGCATACGACGCCTTATGAAAAGGAGCCCCAAAAGCAACCTCCAATGATTGGAAACCCCAATTAATCACAAAACCCTAGAAACCCTACTTGAACCCCAAAAGTATGTAGTCTAATAGCCTTTTGGGCCATATTTGGGGGTTTTGGGGTGTTATTTTACCTACTTTGGGGGTCCAGGCAGACCCTATCAAGTCTTAAAGAAGGGGCTGGTCCGGGGCTCGGACACTTATGCAACGCAACAGTTGTGAAGGGATAATGGTAGAAGTAAGAGTAAGTAGAATGGTAGGGTGGTATGGGGCTATGCAGGGTTATATGGAGTTGTAGATTGTAGCAGAAATACCGCTAGTTATAATGATAGTTGACAACAAGCACAACAGTGATGGTTATCATCCCATCCCACAAATTCTACACCGACCCCGTAATAACTACCCCCGGACGTCGTGTAGCAGAAGTATCATAGGGAATCATTGCTATTAGGGGAGTGGGGGCTTCTGTAGTCTCCTTAGACCTATACTAGAAAAATGTCTTTAATGTTTCTTTAGGGTTTTACCATAATAAAGATTAAAAAAACAAATCCTAAGGACAGTACACGCTTGAGTTTAAGTGGAAGTCAGTCGCGGATGACCCTAAACCCTAAACCCTAGACCCTAGACTAGACCCTATACCCTAAGCCTGCTCAGAGGGCTGCTTGGAGGGTTCATCCCTGGAGGCTTCACATTCCGATGAGCTTGCTGAATGCAAGAAGGGCTTAGGGTTTAGGGGATAGGGGTTTATGGTTTAGGGGTTCTCGGGTTTAGGGTTTAGTGATGTGGGGTTTAGGGTTTCTTGTTTTGGGGTTTAGAGTCTAGGGGTTTAGGGATTAGGGGTTTAGGGATCAGGGGTTTAGGGGTTTAGGGCAGGTGCGCAGCGTCATGCAAAAGAAGATTTCTGATTAAAGTCTATTCCTGCGTAACTACCAATACCATGGTGAGGTCTGCGAGGTACCCCGTACGATGCTCATAGGAGGAATCTAGGATCATAATATTGGTAATTCTTCAGGCTTCCACGCTATGCGGGTGCTCTTCCTCACAGCAACGGTTTCCCTCAAACCCTCAGCTAAAAGCATTCGCATGTCTGATGAAGCCTGGACCCCCAAACTGAAATGACAACACTCTGGAATACCGGTCGGATGTGATGTGCTCGTTTTAATCCGTACTCAGCGTCTCCCGAATCAACAGGGATCTGATGGTCACAGTAGCACGGGAAACATTCTATGAAACAAGACTGGAGTTCTCCCCTTGGAAAGACAAGGGTACACAATCGTCGACAAAACTATAAGCACCCGGATACTGTAAGTCTTCTAGGATCCCGAGAATGGCGAGAATAGAAGAGCTGGTGAATTAGAGCTCGTCACCATACTCGCAGGAAAAACCAACCTGGGCTGTCACAACTATTCTATTGTTTGCATTCTGATACGTACCCAGCATGGACCATAACGCTGACAATCCCCCAACTGAAGGCATTCTGCTGCATTGAGCTTCGGAACCTGCAATCCTCAGCCCTGAACCCCAAGAGCGAAAC